AAGATCCAACATAGCCAAAAATAAATTAATTAATTAATTAATTTTAAAAAAAGGAGTGAAGTCTTAATACACATAACAATTTGGATGAATAGCCAGAGAACTATGCTGAGTTAAAAAAAGCTAATCACAATTTTCTATTCTCTTATCTTTCAGAGATGCTTTCTACTGGCAGTCATTAGAATGACCAGCATTCCAAGTGTAAACGCCAAAAGAAAAAATGGGCTTGAGAAGTTTAAAACTTAAAATATAGAAAAAGAAAAGAACATATGAAAACTTTTTTTTTTACAAATAAAGTATGCTTTCATTAACTTACATCTAATTTCTTCCACCTCTATGCCATCTTACAAGGCACTGCCATACTAGATCTCAAAGCACCATTCTAATTATTGATGCCCCATTGCATGACTGCCTTTCAACGGTCCCCAGTGGCTATATCCATGGCCATTTACTGTCTCTAATCTACCTTTATAGCACCAAACACCATTGTTATCGATATTTAAACTTCCCTTATTGATGCTCTCTACACCAGCGATTCCCAGTATAGGCTCCCTTTTAGAATCATTTTGGTCGGTGGTTGAGCATCCAATATGGTTGAGCATCCAATATGGATGCTCAAATACCACCCCCCAGAGATCCTGATTTAATTAGGCTCTCCTGGTGCATTAGAATCATTTTTTAAAAGCCTCCTAGTGATTCAAATGTGTAAGCAGGGTATAGAATCATAATTCTACCTCGTTCCCTATAGCTGAAATAACAAGTTCAACTTTGTCTAAATCCTATCTTTCCTTTAAGTTTCAGTGTAAGTGCCATCAACCCCCATGAAGTCTTTTCCCAAAGAGAAACACTCCCTGGCCCTTGGGCCACAAGCAGTATAGTTGGTAAGTTAGTTACAGACCAAGTTGATATCACACTATCATTATTGACCTTTTAAAGCCTCTCCTGTTTCATTTATCCTCCTTTAAGTCCCATTTCTGCCCCTTCATAGGCACCTATTTTTGCACATTTGATGTGCACTATTTTTTTAAACAGATATTGTTTTTCACACAGATATATTTAATAAATATTATTATTTTAGTACAGTGAACAGTTACGTATCACAAGATTATACTTAATTTTCATGTAGCTATAACCACCACCCTAATCGTTAAATAGGATATTACCGGCCGCACTCAAGCCTTCTTGTTCTCCTGCCAATCACTATTCCCTTCTTGATGCCAAAAGAATCTTCTTAACCTCAGAGATTATTTTTGCTTGTTTCAGAGCTTTTTATAAATTGAACAGTTCAAGGTATATTCTATTGTGCCTGTTTTCTTGTATTGAACATTATGTTTTTGAGATTCACCCATGTCGTTGCCTATAGCAAGAGTTTGTTCATGCTCATTGCTGAATAGTATCCCATTGTATTAATATACCACAATATTTTTCCATTCTCCTATTAATGGGCATTTGAGTTTTCAGTTGTTGGCTATTACAAATAATGCTGCTATAATGATTTTGTGTATGTCTTTTTATGCACATATGTGTTTATTTTGGGGGGGGCAATGTGAGTAAACTTTCTGGATCATGGTTTAGCTATGATCAACTTTAGTTGTTATGTCAAAGAGTGTTCCAAAATTTCTATAAATATTTATACCCCCACCAACAGTGTATAAGGGTTCCAGTTGTTTTATATCATCCCTAAGAAAGTATATACTGACCTTTTTCATTTTATCCATTATAGTAGATGTTTAGTGATATCTGTGGAATATTTTCCCTGTGAAAAATTTTTTTTTCTATATCAAGGTAAAGTAAATATCATTCATGTGGTCTGGTATGGCAAAATTCTGGACGTTTCACAAAATAATACTAAGGAGTAATGCTTAATAACAAAGTTACTAATAGTAACTTTTGTCAACAGGAAATGATCTTCTCCTTAGGGATTCAGTGACAATTTGTTACGGAATTTATTCAAACATCTGTTGCTATGTTTTCAACGTCACCAATCTTTTCTTCTGCAAGTCTAACCTGCCATTAATCTAGCCAGTGAATTTTTCATTGTGAGAAATTGCAGTTTTTGTCACTAGAAGTTGGGTTTGTATCTTTCCTTAAATATCTTCTGTGACTGTACTTAATAGTAATAGAAACATTTTGATTTCCTTATCTGCTATTTGTAATATCTGTATTATTCCTGATGCTGAAAGCTCAGCCCTTTGTGCACTGGTGCCTAATCAAATCTCAGAGACAGAATTTTGGGTGCAGTAGAAAAGAATAGCTTTATTGCTTTGCCAGGCAAAGGGGGACAGAGCGGGCCCATGCCCTGAAAAACTGTGTGTCCCAATCCAGGGGAATTTGGTGTGGAGTTTTAGCAATGGTTCAAGAATGGGGTTGCTGATAAGATTAGGGTGTGTGCAGGGACTGCACTCCTTTAATCTGGTCTCAGGTAATCTAATGAGTTTCTGTGGTTCCTTAAATCTGGCCTCAGGTGGTCTGCTTGAAGAGCTTCTCTGGTTACTTTAATCTGGAATGAAGAATGCTGACATCTTTCACATGTTGGGGGTTTTAGTTCTATAAAGACCTTAAAGATACTGTTATGTGTATCCCTTGAGGCAGAACCAGGACCCTGCTCCAAGGCTGCACTATTGTTTCTTGACAGTTCCTCCCTGTCTCTGCATCCTCTCCCTTCCCTGATTAGCAACAGTTCTAATCTGCCCTTTGGAACTCAGGGAAGGTCATGGAGGCTGGAGTCTATTCCCTACAAACAAGAAATGGGGGACAGAAAGACTTCCATGCCCAGTAGCCCCACAGGGTCCTGCTCCATTTAATTCCTGGGCCTGTTTGTATTGGCTCATTTTCTTCACATCATGGGTCATGCCCTTCTGCTTCTTTGCAATCTTTGATAGCATTCCAGAGATTGTGAGTTTTTACCTTGTTGGGTATTGGATATTTTTGCATTTCTCTAAGTATTCTTGAATTTGTTCTGAGACACAGTTAAATTATTTGGAAATGGTTCTAGTCTTTTGGGTCTTCCTCTTAAGATTTGTGTAAAGGAAAAGTCTACAGTCCTTCCTAATTGGTGTTTCTTCCCCATGAATCTCCTTTACTATGCACACAGAACTCTTCACTTCTGCCACTTCTGGTCACCAAATGCACGAGATTTTTCCCCTAAACAAACAGTTCTCTATGACACTAGCCTGGTGTCCCACGATTTAACTCAATTCTAATGATATCAACCTGGAGATAGCATCAGATCCCACAGGTTAAGGGCCCAGTCCCACAAGATTGCTTCCCACTTCAGATGCCAGTGCAAGTAGTAGGCCCCCAGGTTACCCATAACTTCTGTTCAATTTGACTACAAATCAGATTACCATGACCCCCTCCTCGATTTTGATTAATTTGCCAGAGTGGCTCATAGAGTTCAGGGAAATCCTTATGCTTACCAGTTTATTAGAGGGTGTGATAAAGGATACACATAAACAGCTTGATGAAGAGATTATATAGGGTGAGATCTGGGAGGGTCTTGAGGGCAGGAGTCTCTATCCCCATGAAATTGGGGGGCATCATCCTCCTGGAGTGAATGTGTTCATCAATTTGGAAGCTCTCTGAATGCCATGCAATTGAGATTTTATGGAGGCTTCCTTGAATAGGCATGATCAGTGGTTAACTCCATTTCCAGCTCCTCTCCTGCTCTCTGGAGGATGGAGGGTGGAGCTGATAATTCCAAGCTTTTAAATCATGACATGGTCTTGCTGGTGACCAACCCCCTCCAGGAGCCCATCCACCCAGAGTCACCTCATCAGAACAAAAGATGCAATTATCACTTAGGAATTTACAAGGGTTTTAGGAGCTTTGTGCCAGGAACAGGAACATTTTATACATATAAAAGATATATGTATTTTTCCTATTATCTCAATTTGTGAGAAGCAATCAGGTCACCATTTAGTCTATGGCTAATCATTCCCCACCACTGAAGGAAGATATTTATGAGTACTCTTAAAAGGCCCTATAAATGATGAGGTTTCCCAGTCTGGCTGGTCTGAACAGGCACTATTCCCATCTGGATGGGAACACTGGATACTGTTTCCTCTAGTCATTTCATATGCTTTGTTCCCTCCATCCTCATACAAAAGTGCTGATGAGTACACTGCTGAATACCCAAGGGGAACACTCTGTACATCCCCAGAATCCTCTGTCTGTGTATCTCTTTCTTTTCTGATACTCTATTTGCATAGCCCTTGTCTCTGAGCTTCCCCTCTTCACCTCAGGGAATCTCTTAGCATTTCTCTGGTTTTCCCCTGCTTAAATCACACATACAAAACTATCTCTGGGCAGTAGCTGGGGCAATTGCAGGACTCATCAAGTTTGTTTTCAGAAGATCACTGCCCTTCATTGATTGATGCCCAGTGATTGAAAAGGACTTTTTTTTCACACATTTTCTTTTTTTTCTTTTTAGTTGATTCAGGCAAGAGAGTAAATCTGGCCCCTGTTATTCCATTTTGACAGGGAACAGAAGTCTGTGGAGTTGATCTTTCTCTTTTTTTTTTAATTAATTAATTAATTTTTGGCTGTGCTGGGTCTTCGTTTCTGTGTGAGGGCTTTCTCTAGTTGCGGCAAGCGGGGGTCACTCTTCATCGCGGTGCACGGGCCTCTCACTATCGTGGCCTCTCTTGTTGAGGGGTATAGGCTCCAGATGCGCAGGCTCAGTAGTTGTGGCTCACGAGTCTAGTTGCTCTGCGGAATGTGGGATCTTCCCAGACCAGGGCTCGAACCCGTGTCCCCTGCATTGGCAGGCAGATTCTCAACCACTGCTCCACTAGGGAAGCCCCAATCTTTCTAACTTAAAAACACTTTGCGTTTTCAAATTCTAAAGGGCTTGTCAAATTCATTTATCTCCTTTACAGCCCACTTACTGGGCGGGAGTTTTGCTTCTCTTTTAGTTGATTTTTCAGATTCAAACTGCTTTCACTTCCCAGTTCCTGCTTTTGCAACTAGTTCGAGACAGTGCCAAGTGTTCCTGCAGAGACATGACTGTGGAGGAGGCTTCTGCGAAAATCTTACAGACAGACCCTACCTCCAGAGAAAGCATGGAGGAGGGACGATCTGGTAAGGTAAAATTGATAAGCTTTGACAAAACAAAACGGCTTTTATTCCACTGACCACTGACAGCAGGATAGAAATTGCACTGCAGGAATATAATCCTTCACAGTTAACCTCCATAGAAGGAGAGATGTTTTAAGGGACTAGAGGTGGGTGAGAGGACAAGTGTGTAATTGTTGTGTTGGTGATTGTGTTACTGTGTACGTTACTTAAATATTTCTGCACAGTGAATTAGGTTACAGGAGGTTAAGAGAAAAATGTTCTCTGGGTTTATTAGTCCTTGTATTTTTCCCAGGTTGCTGGCAACTTGCACCCTGGCAAGTCACATTATGATATTAAATAACAGGTCATTATATCCCAGAGTCATGGCAAACAGACAACAATAGTTTTGTTTTTTAAATTTTTATTTATTTATTTAATATATCTTTATTGGAGTATAACTGCTTTACAATGTTGTGTTAGTTTCTGTTGTACAACAGAGTAAATCGGCTATAAGTATACGTATATCCCCATATCCCCTTCCTCTTGAGTTTTTCTCCCATCCTCCCTATCCCACCCCTTTATTTATTCATTTTTGAGGTTTTTTTTTTTTGGTATATCTAACAATTTTGAAATACATACACTAATAAAAGTTGCCAGTACCTACTGTATAGACAGAGGACTCAGCTCAATATTAGGTGACAACCTAAATGGGAAAAGAATTTGAAAGGGAATAGATACACGTATCTGTAAAAAAAAAAAAATTAACCATGACACCTATTCTGTAGTCTGATTGAATCTAGTGATCATATACTTAGAATCTGTTATTTGTTAGACACCGGGCTACAAAGACAAATTATATTTAGACCCTGATTTCAGGGTTTCATCATCTCAAGGACAGCCAAATGAGTTACTACAATTTGATGTGATTAGTGCTACAATATATTTAATGAAACCTAGGGAGTTGGAGATGGCTTCACTTCTGAAGTGACTTTTGACCTGGTGTCACATTTTCTGGAAGAAATAGGATTAAAACTCACAATTTTAAAAGAAATATTTATTGCAGTATGGTTGCTTTAGAGTGTTGTGTTCGTTTCTGCTGTGCAGCAAAGTGGATCAGTTATAATATATCCCCTCTTTCTTAGTTTTCCTTCCCAGTTAGTTCAGCACAGAGCACTGAGTAGAGTTCCCTGTGCTATACAGTAGGTTCTCATTAGTTATCTATTTTATACATAGTAGTGTGTATATGTCAATCCCAATCTCCCAATTCATGCCACCCCTCCCTTCCCCCCTTGGCATCCGTAAGTTTGTTCTCTACATCTGTGTCTCTATTTCTGCTTTGCAAATAAGTTCATCTGTACCATTTTTCTAGATTCCACATATAAGTGATATCATACGATACTTGTTTTTCTCTCTCTGACTTATTTCACTCTGTATAACAGTCTCTAGGTCTATCAATGTCTCTGCAAATGGCACTATTTTGTTCCTTTTTATGGCTGAGTAATATTCCATTGTATATTTGTAACACAGCTTCTTTATCCATTCCTCTGTTGATGGACATTTAGGTTGCTTCCATGTCCTGGATATTGTAAATAGTGCTGCAATGACCATTAGGGTACATGTATCTTTTTGAATTATGGTTTTCTCCAGGTATATGCCCAGGAGTGGGATTGTAGTTCTGTTTTTAGTTTTTTGAGGAGCTTCCATACTGTTCTCCATAGTGGCTGTACCAGTTTACATACCCACCAACAGTGTAGGAAGGTTTCCTTTTCTTCACATCTTCTCCAGCATTTATTGTTTGTAGATTTTTTGATGATGGTCATTCTGACCGGTGTGAGGTGATACTTCATCGTAGTTTTGATTTGTGTTTCTCTAATAATTAGTGATGTTGAGCAGCTTTTCATGTGTTTGTTGGCCATCTGTGTGTCTTCTTTGGAGAAATAAAAGTCATAATTTTTTGTTCAAAAAGTAATTCTAACTAAGTACAAAAGTATATTTTCTTTCCCTTGGGTACAAAAGTGCCCCACAAAATTTCCTTTTGAAATCAAGGGTAAATCTGATATTCAGTGATATCATTAAATATTTCAGCTAAAATCTATTGAGGCTCATTTATGTGTCCAGATGATTTTCTCTTTGCTTCCTCCTTTGTCTCTCCCCCTATTTATGTCTCTTTCTCTCTGCCTCACAGGCTCTGGTGTACTTTTGTGTTTTTTCTCTCTCTCTCTCTTCCTCTCTCTCTTTCTCTCTTTCATATTCATTCCCTGGCCCTTTGATTATGGTGGATCTTCATCTAGCCTTATGTCATCCTATTTAGAGTACCTTACCAAAGTAGTTTATAAAATGTGTCTTACCAGAAATTTTCAGGAGTGATCATAAAAATGATATGAACATCTTTTAAACATAACCATTTTAGTTAAAGAGTTTTGATTTAATGAGAACATCAGAGTATTAAAACAACATAGTGATTGATTAGTAAAAGCATTTGTTGAAATATAGTATCTAAGTGTTTAATTTTGTTATTTATCAACATCCATGCATTAAAAAAAAAATTGTAACCTCCTTCCCCTCTCCCCAGTTGATGTTAGCTGAGAATTAATTTCTTACTGTTCTCTAAGGAGACTTTTGTTTAATAAAACCATGAATAATTATTGACTCAAAAAAAAAGTCCCTGCAGAAACTGGGACTATTCGTATATAGATCCTTTGTCATTTAAAAACCGATGTGGGTGTTTGAGGGTGGGAGTTGGAGGCTAAACCCAACCGCCAGCAAACCCTTTAGCATTTGTAGTTTATAGCAAGTTTGATGAGAAAGAAAAAGAACATAGCTCACGCGTGCTTGTATTTCAGTCCAGCAGAAAGAATACCTTTTATGGAACCTCTATTTTCTGCTAAAAACAAACATTTCCTACTTTCTTCTTCCCTTCCCCCCTCCCTGAATTTTATTTTTTGTCAACAGGATATTGTAGTTCCTGAAACACAGGGTTCATGCTTAATGAAAAAGAAAGTTCTTAACGTTAATGTTTTTCTAGCTAAGTCAAGTGTTTACATAACTGAAACTATTTGACCAGTGCAAATGTGAAACCTATTTTTTTTGAAATTTAAACTGTTCCTGTAAGTTAACTAAGTTTTCTAGAACATGAAAATAAAAGTTAAAACCAGTAGACCAGTAGTATGGTTCATTTCTCTGTTCTTCTGTGAGATAATTTCTGACACCATTTTTCAAACTAGAAATTTGAAGGTTGTTGTGTTCAGAGTGTAATATAAGAGGCATATGAATTTAGAGGGAGACAAAAAGAGGACACACCAGAGGACTGTTAGGAAGGAAGAAATTTTCCTCTGCTCTTCTGGCTGGTTTAAGAATTAAATTGACATGAGATAAATAACAGGAGAAAATCAAACAAAAGTTTAATAACATGTATACATGGGAGAGACACAGGAAAATGAGTAACAGACTAAAATGGCCAAAACCTTCACCTTAAATACTGTCTCCAGCTAATGACAAAAGATGTTGGGGGTAGTGGTTTGGGACTTCAAAGGGGAGGAAGGTCATTGACAAGGATATGGAAAAGCAAAAGTTTGGTGAATAAATGTTTGCTGGGCCACACAGAGACAAGGGACACAAGAGTGGACTCTGATCTTTAGGCCATTTCCAGTTTCTCTCATCACACTCACCTCCTACTCTTTGCAGATATCTCTGGTGATAGCTCTATTCCAGGAACCGGCCTTCTATCTAAATTTTTTTAGGCAGTTAGGGGGAAGGTCAAAGAAAGATTCTTCCTGAGTATTTGGGGCCTTGATGGTTTTCAGCTTGAAATAATCCACATGCCAAAGAGACATTTTGCGGTGGCAAATTTTATTCCCCTACAAAAAAGGAGAAGAGAAGTATTAATAAGTAAAGCAAGAAAGAAAAATGGAACATGAAACAAGGGAGGGTGTTAGGAGCTAGATATAGGGAAATAAAGGAGAAGAAAAAGGGGGGACTTTTAGAAGATTAGTAAGGGGACAAATAGATTTATTGGAGAGGTGTAAGGGGAGATGTACGCCTTACTCTTCTAACAATGAAAACAATTATGGAAGTCATAACATACTGAGTTCCTAAGACAGTTTTGCTTTAATGTAGAACCAGAAAGAATGAAGGTCGAGATTTTCTTATGAAGCCAAAATCCAAATGTCATTTTATACTGTTTAAACAAGCCAATGCGATATTGTTTTCCCCTGCCTAGCATTTAAACTGAGGCTCCCTATCATTCTGGAAGATAACGTGACATGGCACTCTTTTGGGTTACATTTCTATGAGTTTTGACAAATACATATAATCATGTTACCACATCACAATCAAGATATAGAACAGTTCCACACCCCCCCATGCCCATGCCCTTTGTAAACATTTCTTTCCCATTCCCACACCCTTTGGCAACCACTGATCTGTTTTCTGTTCTTATACTCTTGCTTTAGAAGAATGTCTACGGAGTCTGACTGTTTTTCACTTGGCATAATGCATTTAAATTCATCCATATTGTGCTGTGTATCAATAGTGGGGACTTAGTAAAGAGAGACATTATTCACAAGGACTCTTACAATAGGAAAAAAAAGGTTCTCATGTTATAAATAGGGCAAGAAGGGGAACAGAACACCTGTGGGGAAACAGCATGAGTGTGAAGAGCAGGTGTCATTTCGAGAGTTAATACTTCTCACTTGTGTTCCAGGGACACGTGGTCATGAGCACACACGAGCTGTTATGCATCTCAGTGCTTTCTTTAGTGCTTGTTTGCATTTTCAGGCAAGCCAGAGTTTGGGGGTCTTTGGGGAAGAGAGGGCCTCACTAAAATTTATCAAACCAAAGCAAAATAAGAACTGAAGAATTTTGAACATGTTACCGAGTGCCAGCTCGCTTAGCTCGCCGCACGACAGGCCAATGAACCAGAGAGGAGGTGTTGAGGCAGGGAATACAACTGTACTCGGAAAGCCAGCAGACTGAGAAGATGGCAGACTAGTGTCTCCAATAAACCATCTTGTTGAGGTCTGGATGCCAGTTTCTTTTATAGAATCAGAGAGGTGGTGAGGAAATAAAGTAAAAGGGTCATCAGTCTTGCAAAACATCTCCTGGAATGACCAGCCTCGGTGAGGGGATGGTTAATTTTTTCTTTCTGGCAGCCATTCACAGGTGGGCAGGGTCAGATTGTCTCCTTGTGAGCCCAACCAAGGCACTTTAATATAACATTCAGGCAGAGGGGCAGGGCTCCCTGAGGCAAGCCATTATGTATGATTATAATAAGAAAAGCAACAAAAAGCGAAGGTTAAAATCAAAGAAACAGATTGAACATGGAGTCTGATATAGCTTTTCCCTATTACAATTCCCCACTGTCAATTTCCATCTCACAATCTTGTGGGATAAGGGGTGGTGGCCCCTCTTAGCTACTCCCTGCCCTGTAGGGATGATGAAGGGTGATCGTGGAATGGAATTGATCAGCATTGGGCAGGGAATAATTCTTAGAAGTTTCAGTAAATAGTACAATTCTCAGTTATTCAGACCTGACGCTGTCCTGTTCAGTAGAACAGGACTAAACAAGTACATTGATCCACGCTTCTCCAGCTGTAAGGAAATTGCAGTCTCAACACTTATCCTTTTTTTTTTTTTGCCGTACGCGGGCCTCTCACCGCCGTGGCCTCTCCTGTTGCGGAGCACAGACTCCGGACGCGCAGGCTCAGCGGCCATGGCTCACGGGCTCAGCCGTTCCGCGACATGTGTGATTTTCCCAAACCGGGGCACGAACCAGTGTCCCCCGCATCGGCAGACGGACTCTCAACCGTTGCGCCACCAGAGAAGCCCTGATTCTTATTCTCTCATTAGCTCTTCTTCCAATAACTGGAAGATTCTCTAGGGGAAAAAAAAAAAACTCAGTTTCTTGGGCCGTGGTTCTCATTTGTGGACCTGGACCTTTTGTGAAGGGGGTTGGCAATAGGGGAGTTGAGGTACAGCTGACTGTACAGGTTGATTCTGTGATAAATTTAAGTTTTTCTTCCTAATACCTTCAGGAGATTGAGATTATGACATTTGTATTTATAGGTAAAGACCTCCAGAGAAAATGCCTACCAATTACATCTCCTATAATCCCGCTTTATTGTTGCATCATCATTATTATGGTCCTAGCTACAATTGTGATGGTACTTTCCACTTTTTTGGCAGGTAAGTTACCTGTTCTCCAAACTTTACAATGTTCTTCACACATTCATGTTGTCGATAAATACTTACTGAGCTCCATTATGTGCCAGGCACTGTGTGAAGTGCTTGAGGTATATCAGTGAACAAAACACACAAAAAATCCCTGCTCCCAGGGAACTCATATTGTAGCAGGAAGACACAGATACTATAATATAGGGGTAACAGTTTGAGGGATACAAGGGGCCAGAGTAAGCCTCCTTGAAAGGATGACTTTTCAGCAAACTTTTGAAGGTGATGAAGGAGCCATGTGGCTATATGGGGAAAGCATTCCAGGTGGCAGGAACAAGCAGAATCAAAGGAGGAATCTCCTTGGTATGTTGGAGGAAAAGCAAGGAGGCTTCTTCAGCTAAAGTAAAATGTCGGAGTCCAGCTCCAACGAGTCCAGGGAAACCTGAGGGATGGACAGCTTCGGCGAAGGAAAAGAGACCTGACACCCTTGTAGATGTCAGCACATCAAGCCAAATTTATTTTTCAGAGCAGGTATTTATATGTAGGCAGGTTTCATCATCATATACAAAATCAAAAAAATCTCAACATGTTCTAACCTTAAAATATTTTTATCAATTTTCTGAAAATGTCCCCAGTTTCTAGATGTACTAACAAGAGAATTCCCCAAGTTCTCATTAGTTGCAGGTTATTTTCTAGTAGTTCAGCCAAGCTATTATTAAGTCTTTATTACAGAAGTGCAATCTTCGTGTTCTTTCTGCATGGGCAAGTTTTTTGAATAGTGCCTTAAAAATATTTACAATATATCCTACAGTTCCTGTGTACCTGACTCCATTAGTAGCACTTACAATACCTCCTACGCTCCTGTTTATCATCCAGCAATTGTTGCCAGAGTATTAACCTTTCTTTAGAGTGGACCCATATGAAACCAAAATCATCAACACAGTTGTTCAGTTGGGGGTGTTTTCCATAGGAACATCCCTATATTTCCAGATTGTGTATTGTGTTCCCAGTTTCCTGGGGCCGGAATAAGTACTTTCCATTTTGTGGTAATAATAGTAAGGGGGGGTAGTAGTTTTTCTCATTTTCCTAACCCTGGGCACTAATCCCCCTTGTACTGTTTCCATATATAAGCTTAACACAACCAAACAAATCAATAGAAATGTAGTCCACCGTCCTGGCACAGTGCTGCTTTGCAGTCCTGCCTTTGATTGCATCATGACCTTGTCACGGCGCAGGGACTCCAGGATGGCTTCCAACAGCAAAATGAGAATGAGGGAGAGTAATGGGCTGGGGAGGGGGCGGTCAGGGAGATAATAGCCTTATGTGTCAGTTAAAGACTTCAGCTTTGTGCTTCCCTGGTGGCGCAGTGGTTGAGAGTCCACCTGCCGAGGCAGGGGATGTGGGTTCGTGGCCCGGTCCGGGAGGATCCCACGTGCTGCGGAGCGGCTGGGCCCATGAGCCATGGCAAAAAAGACTTAAGCTTTTATTTTGAGTGTAGTGGGGAGGATGAGGCAGAGG